AACCCGAACGTTCCATGATTCCATGCCCTAACTTACCGCCAGGATCTCCTTGCTAGCCCCACGCAGAACGATGGTGCAGGCCTTCGGGTCTTTGCAGTCGGTGATGAAGGCAAAATACTCATCTCCTATTTTTTTCACTTCGAAGAGCCCGGCTCCGGTCCCCACGTCCTCCTCCCGCAGCTCGTCCGTGCGACTCACGATGCGAGCTCCGCAGGCCCTGGCACACCAACAGCATAAGCCAGGTGCTCACGGACAAGAACTGGGAGAAAGGGGGAGGCCAGGACGGAAACTCCGTGCCCGGGACAGCGGGAACGGGCTCCGGCAGGAGGCGGCGCTCACCTGGCGATCCTGTTGTTGTCCGTCTTTCGCACCCTGCGGATGGCGGCGACGTTGGCTCTCATCAGGTAGTGCTGTGCCAAGTCTGAAAGCAGGTTTGGGCAATTTTATGGATGAAATCCAACTTTATGCACGGACAGACTTTGTGCCTTTAAAGTACTTTTGTGCCTTGTGGAACAGGTTGCCCAGAGAAGCTGTGGCTGCCCCATCCCTGGCAGTGTTCCAGGCCAGGTTGGATGGGGCTTTGGGCAACTTGGTGTAGTGGAGGGTGTCCCTGCCCATGGCAGGGGGTTGGAACTGGATGATCTTTAAGGTCCCTTCCAACCCAAACCATTCCTTGATTCTATGATTCTAAGTAGAAAGTGTTACGGAAAGAAAAACTCATCCTCACTCGTGTTGTGTTGTTTCCAAACGCTGGGAATGCAAAATGTTACTGGAGACAACCTCAAGAACCAAATTTGCATGGGTTTTGTGGCTTTTTTGGTTTTTTAGGTTACCCAGCAGTGCATTTAACACAGCATGAACCCTACTAAGATGAATTCAACACAATAACACGTGTCATTACCCGAAATTCCTTTTTCCGTGATGACCAGATCTGGCTTGACCCTCACCAGATCCTCGCAAATCTGCTGGATGTACTCTTCCTCCATCTGCAGGATGCGGGCGAAGTCTTCCTCCCGCGTGATTTCGATATCAGTCTGCGCAGAAAGAGGTGTAAATATCCCACCACATTCCTCCCAGCCCTTCCACCAGTTCAAACACAGCTCCCTCGGCTTAAGCCATCTCAAATCCTCCAGTATTGCCCGGGGAAGAGTTAAGGAGAACCACACAGTGAAAAATGCCGATCGAACGACCCGTGACACTCTGCCAGTTTAACATGCGTGGCAATTAATGCACAGAAACATTCCTTTGACTCCTGACCATCGCTCAGATACTCACTGGAGCAGCTACAGCACTTTTTTCCACCGTTCTCCCCAGGGCACTGACCCCCCAGCAGAACTGGCCTACACACACAGAAGGTCTCAGAAAGGCAGGACACAACAAGAGCCATTGGCCACTCGGGCTTCCCACCAGCTGCCTGGATTTGTGCACTTTCCCAGTTTGAAATCAAAAGTAGCAGACACCTCTGGCAGGACTTGCTTTACCTGGCTCTCTCCTTTCTTGTACTCCAGTGAGCAATCCAGAAGGACGATGCGCGGATTCTTAATCAGGCGACGCATCCGGGGATGAGTGACATCCTTATTCACCATGATTCCACGCAAAACACACGAGTCTTCACTGAAACCACCTGGAATCTGACCAACAGGAGGAAGGGGGGAAATGAGGCAAGTAAGTCTGCTCCACAAAAACCCGTGTATCTGTGCTCCTGAGGTCATCTGTTCCACACAAGCAAAAAGGAAAACTCTCCCACGTAACCACGACACATCCAGGCCACAACCTGAGTTAATTTTAAGAGGACATTGACTTACATTAAGCGAAAAGCTGTGGGAGAACCTGAGAAACTGCTCACATCCTTGCCTGGCAATGTGGGTTTAGAAGATGGGAACTGAAACAACTTAAATGATCTTTTGATGCCAAATCCCAGAACGTCAGGGATTGGAAGGGACCTCAAAGGATCATCTAGACCAATCCCCCCTGCCAGAGCAGCACCACCTAGATCAGATCACACAAGAACGCGTCCAGGCGGGTTTGGAACATCTCCAGAGAAGGAGACTCCACAACCACTCTGCGCAGCCTGTTCCAGTGCTCTGTCCCCCTTACTGGGAAGAAGTTCTTCCTCATGTTTAAGCGGAATCTCCTCTGTTCCAGCTTAGATCCATTTCCCCTTGTCCCGTCACTGGATGCCACTGAGAAGAGCCTGGCTCCATCCTCATGGCAGTCACCCCTTACATATTTACAAACATTAATGAGGTCCCCCCTCAGTCTGCTCTTCTCCAAGCTAAAGAGACCAGTACAGCCCAGTGTAGCCCGGTACAGCTCCCTCAGCCTTTCCTCATACGGGAGATGCTCCACTCCCATCATCATCGTCGTGGCCTTGCGCTGGACTCTCTCCAGCAGTTCCTTGTCCTTCTTGACCTGAGGGGCCCAGAACTGGACACAATATTCCAGGTAAAACCTTGTAAATGAATTCAAGTCACTGCTCTGGTTTTCACTGGGAGCAGCGGGGCCGACAGCACTGACTGAAACACCTCCAAGGGTTTATGTTTGCAGACTGCAGATCAGCAGCACAAAATCCTCCCCGCTGCATCCGAGGAACGGCTGGTTCAGAACAGAAAACGGTTCAGGACACGCTCACCTTTTCCACTTTTGCATATTTTTTAATATCAATCTCCTTCCGGCCGTTTTCCTCAAACTCCACGGTCCTGACGGCATCCAGAGCAATGCTGCAGGCCAGGTCGGACCAGCGGCTTATCGCCTTGGTGTTTATTGCACTCTTGATTATTTTCAGCATCATCTCCTTGTTGTTCACATCCACCGGCGTGCTGAGCCAAAGGGAAGAACAAACAGGAAACCGAGTGTTACTCCAGGCTCCAATCCATCCGTAATCCCAGTCGTTTTAAGGAATGTTTTACCAATGTGATTCCCTGAAGAACCACCTTTCAGAAGCACAGAAACCCCACGCTCCTCCTCTCTAGCTCCCACCAGCCCACACTCACCCAATTTTCTTCAGAATACTGATCATGTCATCCAGAGCCTTACGATAAGCCCCGATGATCACAGTGGGGTGCATCTGCTGTTCGAGGAAGTGTTCAGCAACAGAGAGCATCTCTCCAGCTGGGGAAAAAAACAAACAATCCATTAAAAGTTGGTAGAACAATCAACAGTCAAGACAAGAGAACAGCATCCCAGACAAAAAGTATCTGCTGTCCACACAGAGGGCTCTAACATCACCTATACCTTTCCTTATACTGGACTGTGCTTATCTTAGAGAAAGAACACAACTTTCCAAAGCGTGGAGCTGCTCACCTAAGGGTCTAATGAACCCAGCGTTCTATTCCGTGGTTAAAAAAAAAAAAGGATCGATTTTAGGGTTGGTAAATAACGAATTCTGTCTCATTAAGGCATGGGTACTGGGCTCTGACGAGCAAGAAGGGCGAACTTCAGCCCGAATCCTTTATAAAAAGTGTGTCCTACTCAATCTCCTTACCAAGGATAATCACAGAGGTGGTCCCATCTCCGACTTCTTCATCCTGAGTTCGGCTGATCTCTATCATTGATTTTGCAGCTGGATGCTGGACTTGAATCTGTTCAGGAGCAAAGGGTATGATTTCGTTCCAGAACGCTAAAGCTGAGACTTCCTGATTAAGTTTCTTGGATGAAGATGGAACTCAATGGATGAAATAATCACACTTTTTCAACAATCAAAGGCGTTCCACCCAACTACAGCAAAGATTCTTCCTTCTGGGGACTGAAAATAAGCCCTTGTATTTCACAGTATTGTCTCTCCAACAGTTTTGCAGGTGTGATGATGTTTGTGATGTTATTTCAACAGCACTTGCACCGGAGAGACAATGATTTCTTACTCTAATTATTGTGCATTGTAAAAGCAAGAATCTCCTCGGAAGGTTTTGATACAAGTCGTTATAGCTACAGCTACCACAGAATTCCCACCAGCCTTGTAACATCTCCATTCAAACGTACCATCCTGGGATCAAACCTGCTGCCCTGAGGAGCCAGAACGTTTGCTGGAAATATTTAACTCCTCCCCAGCAAGCACCTTTCTGGCTACTGCTGCTTAGTACTTGCTGGCTCTCCAGACAGCAGATGAAGTAAAACAGTTCCATCATCAACTATGTAACTGCATCCTGGAATATTCCAACTCACACGTGAAGCAAGACGGTTCTTCAGGAGAAACTTACTTCTCTAAGAATGGCATTGCCATCGTTGGTCATCACAATCCCACCCATGGGGTCCAAGAGCATCTGCAACCGAAAGAGAAGCAATATTTGCACTGGCCTGTGATGTGTGCAGTGTTTGCAGCACGGGTAGTTCAGCAAAGGTTCCTACCTTCATCATAGCTCTTGGTCCCAAACACGTTCGGATAATGTCAGCAATGGTCTAGGAGGAACAAAAGAAATGAAGCAATACAGGAATCCCAGAATGTCAGGGATGGGAAGGCACCTCAAAGGATCATCTAGCCCAATCCCCCTGCCAGAGCAGCACCACCTAGATCAGATCGCACAGGAACTCGTCCAGGTGGGTTTGGAACATCTCCAGAGAAGGAGACTCCACAACCTCTCTGGGCAGCCTGTTCCAGTGCTCTGTTCCCCTTACTGGGAAGAAGTTCTTCCTCATGTTCCAGCGGAACCTCCCATGTTCCAGCTTAGATCCATTTCCCCTTGTCCTGTCACTGGATGCCACTGAGAAGAGCCTGGCTCCATCCTCATGACAGTCACCCTTTCCATATTTATAAACATTAATGAGGGTCCCCCCTCAGTCTCCTCTTCTCCAAGCTAAAGAGACCAGTACAGACCAGTACAGCTCCCTCAGCCTTTCCTCATAAGGGAGATGCTCCACTCCCTTCATCATCTTTGTGGACCAGCGCTGGACTCTCTCCAGCAGTTCCTTGTCCTTCTTGGACTGCGGGGCCCAGAACTGGACACAATATTCCAGATGTGGCCTCAGCAGGGCAGAGTAGAGGGGGAGGAGAACCTCTCTCGACTTACTCACCACACCCCTTCTAATACACCCCAGGATGCCATTGGCCTTCTTGGCCACAAGGGCACATTGCTGGCTCATGGGCATCCTGCTGTCCACCAGGACCCCCAGGTCCCTTTCGCCTGTGCTGCTCCCCAACAGTCCAGTCCCCAACTTGTACTGGTACATGGGATTGTTCTTACCCAGATGCAAGACTCTAAAAAAAAAAAGTCTAAAAAACCCCATAGTTTACATGAAACAAGAAGCTGCTGTAGAATTTAAGTGACCCAACGACTCTACAGTTGCTTAGATACAGCAGAAGTTAAGAACTGGGTGGGAATGGGAACACAGGGACCACAGAGCACTGGCACCACACTGAATTGTCACCTAACTCAGAGGACAAAACTTACACACTTTCAGATTTTGCAGAAGAAGAGGTTTTGGTGGGTTAAACCCCTCTGTGTTCAGTTCCATTGCACTTATTATTTTAACACTGAACATTCATTTTCTACGCTGCTTCTACTCTGGATTCACACAGACTGGAGAAAACTTCAGACCCAGTTTTCCCTCTTAGATACATAAATCCATAAAATATTTGGATCTAAAAGAGAAAAAATCAAACTAAAAGAGAAAAAATAAAAATTCTGACATGAGAACATGGTACCTTAGCAGCAGTGATGTTTCCAGTCTGAACTTTTCTTCCAGACTCACGTTTCACATTCTGACCTAAAGCAAATAGAAAAAGAAAATAAAAACACAAAATATTAAAGTACAAATATATTTTTAATCTGATCTTACTAAGAAGTCCCAGACTGAAACAGCGATACTGACAATGCATCAAAGATACCCTCTTAGTCACACACACTTGATATATGACCAGTTCTAAATTAAGAGTTTACAAAATAAGAAAGGATATTCATAGAAAAGGGTCAGTGAAAAACACCACTCCTTATTACAACACAATTTCTGATGAGCATAATTCAACTGAGACCAAACTTTGCCGCTCTGAAACAGACCCTATTCCCCCACGAAAGTCAAACAGCCCTGACTCACAGGAATCTGCAAGATGACACAAAGCCCAGAACTGCTGCACAGTCGTTTTCAGTAAAAAAAAAAAAAAAAGCTGCAGAAGTTTACTTACACGCAGTAAGCAGAACACTGGTTTAAAATTAAGTTTTACACACCAGAGTTGCTGAGCCTTTGGCACATTAAGGTAAGGAGAATCATGGAATGGTTTGGGTTGGAAGGGGCCTTCAAGATCATCCAG